AAACGGATACAAGACATGCCTCTGTCGGCAAGAACTGTTCATGATCGTACCATCGTGATGGCAAACAAAGTGGAGGAAACGCAAGTGAAGGACATAAATGCAGCGCCGTTCTTTTCTCTGGCTTTGGATGAGTCAACAGACGTGAGCCATTTGTCGCAGTTCAGCGTGATTGCAAGATATGCTGTTGGTGACACACTGCGCGAAGAAAGTCTTGCTGTTCTGCCATTAAAAGGGTCCACAAGAGGTGAGGATTTATTCAAGTCTTTCATGGAGTTTGCTCAAGAAAAAAGTCTACCTATGGATAAACTTCTCTCAGTGTGTACTGATGGTGCTCCGTGTATGGTGGGGAAAAACAAAGGATTTGTGGCGCTTCTCCGTGAACATGAAAATAGACCCATCCTAAGTTTCCATTGCATTATACACCAGGAGGCACTTTGTGCTCAGATGTGTGACAGGCAGTTTGGCGAAGTGATGTCGCTGGTCATTCGTGTGATCAACTTTATTGTTGCCCGAGCCTTAAATGATCGCCAGTTTAAAACACTGCTGGATGAAGTTGTAAATAACTATCCTGGTCTGCTTTTGCACAGCAATGTGCGTTGGTTGTCAAGAGGGAAGGTGCTTAGCCGTTTTGCGGCTTGCCTGAACGAAATCCGGACTTTCCTTGAAATGAAAGGCGTCGGGCATCCTGAGCTAGCCGACACCGAGTGACTCCTCAAGTTTTACTATCTCGTAGATCTGACTGAACATCTGAACCAGCTCAACGTGAAAATGCAAGGCATTGGAAATACAGTGTTATCCCTTCAACAAGCTGTATTTGCTTTTGAAAACAAGCTGGAGCTTTTCATCACGGATCTTGAAACAGGTCGTTTACTACATTTTGAAAAACTGAGCCAATTTAAAGATGCATGCACAGCAAGTGAGCCCATTCAAAACCTTGATCTCCACCAGCTAGCTGGCTGCACATCCAGTCTCCTACAGTCCTTCAAAGCACGCTTTGGAGAATTTCGTGAGCACACTCGTCTTTTTAAGTTCATCACCCATCCAAACGAGTGTTCACTGAACACAGCCGACCTGAATTACATCCCTGGTGTCTCCGTCAGAGATTTTGAAGCAGAAGTGGCTGACCTGAAGGCCTCAGACATGTGGGTGAATAAGTTCAAGTCACTGAATGAAGATTTGGAAAGAATCACACGACAGAAAGCGGAGTTGGCGAGCAAGCACATGTGGACAGAAATGAAAAAACTCCAACCCGAAGACCAGCTGATTCTCAAAACTTGGAACGCGCTTCCTGTCACATACCACACACTGCAGCGTGAGTATTGCTGTATTGACCATGTTTGGATCTACGTATGCATGTGAGCAGTCATTCTCACATCTTAAAAACATCAAGTCCAACCTACGATCACGTTTAACGGATGAAAGCCTCAACGCTTGCATGAAGCTTAACCTCACCAAGTACCAACCCGACTACAAAGACATCAGCAAATCCATGCAGCACCAGAAGTTGCATTAATGGTGAGTGTTATAACAACATTATTTAAAAGAATAAATTCAGAGGCTTATTATACTGACATTTAGTTGAATTCACTTTTAAAATATATTATATGGCTCTCACTGAAATAAATTTCCAAATTTTTTGCTTTCATGGCTCTCTTAGTCAAAAAGGTTCCCGACCCCTGCACTAAGAGGTGGGGCCTTACCATCAGCCCCACCAAAACTAAGCACCTGCCTGGGTATTTTGTACCATCGGACACTCCACCTCCACAACTCCCAATCGGTGATGGGGCAGTTGTGGAGAGAGTGGAGAGTTTCCCATACCTGGGCAGTGTGCTTATGACTGGCTCCAGTTTAACAGCAGAGGTCTCACTCCGAATCAGTCGAGCGGCAATATCTTTTCATCGGTTGCGTAACGCTGTGTGGAAGCTACCTCGTCTGTCGCTCCGCACTAAGTTTCAGGTCTTCTCGGCCACAGTCATTCCCTCCCTTCTCTACGCTTGCAAAACGTGGACCCCCCTAATGGAACATCTTCGCCGGTTAGAAACATTTAGGCTGGCCTGCCTACGATCCATCCTGGGTTTAACCAGACTGGATTGTGTGAGGAACTCACAAATCCTTGAAAGATCTGGGCAAGGTCCCATCGGTGAGCTCCTCCGGCGGGGAAGGCTGCGATGGCTGGGTCATGTAGCCCGGATGCCCAACCACCGCATGCCGAAACAGCTTTTGTTCGGCCGGATTGAGGGGGCTAAGCGGGCGCGGCACGGGCTAGAGAAGAGATGGAGTGATGTGGTACAGGAGGACGTGGAGCTGAGTGGACTTGCTGATGACTGGTACCAGCGGTGTCAAGATCGGCCTCTGTGGAGGAGGCTCATGAAGGACGCTACTGGGCAGTTGGAGGTAGTCGCCCTCCAACAACAACGGAGGGCGGAGGAGCGACGCTCAGAACAACGAGCGGAGCGCCGGGTGGCTAAAGCACAGCAGGCACAGTAGGGGGCACAGGTGGTGCATCAGCCAGTCATCTCAGTCAGTCGACCCGTGGCACCTGGGTCTGCACCGTGACCTCCTGCCAGCGGGCGTTCGACACTTCACGTGGCCTCAGGGTGCACATAGCCTGGCACAAGCGTCGTGGTGACGTCACCGCCACTTAGTGGCGCATGGCGGTTGTTGTTGTGTGTGGTCAAGTGTGTGAGTGTGTGTGTGATCAAGTGTGTGAGTGTGTGGTCAAGTGTGTGAGTGTGTGATCAAGTGTGTGAGTGTGTGTGTGTGATCAAGTGTGTGAGTGTGTGTGTGGTCAAGTGTGTGAGTGTGTGTGTGGTCAAGTGTGTGAGTGAGTGTGTGGTCAAGTGTGTGAGTGTGTGTGTGTGGTCAAGTGTGTGAGTGTGTGTGTGTGGTCAAGTGTGTGAGTGTGTGTGTGTGGTCAAGTGTGTGAGTGTGTGTGTGGTCAAGTGTGTGAGTGAGTGTGGTCAAGTGTGTGAGTGTGTGTGTGGTCAAGTGTGTGAGTGTGTGTGTGGTCAAGTGTGTGTGTGTGTGTGGTCAAGTGTGTGAGTGTGTGTGTGTGGTCAAATGTGTGAGTGTGTGTGTGGTCAAGTGTGTGAGTGTGTGTGTGGTCAAGTGTGTGAGTGTGTGCGTGTGTGATCAAGTGTGTGAGTGTGTGATCAAGTGTGTGTGTGTGGTCAAGTGTCTGTCCGTGCGGTAGTATAGCGGTTAGCGCTACGCCGCGCTACGAACCTGGCGATCCGGGTTCGATTCCCGGTCACGGCCAACACCGGTGACGATTTTCGGAACCGGTCCTGGGTCTTCCCTAGGTCGACTCGGCCTCAAATGAGTACCTGATGCGAAGTGTAAACATCGTCGCTAGGTCATGGTGTTGGCCACCCACGCCCTCGTGTGCCGTGCCAGCCTTCATAGGTGCTCACTAACAGCACTTACCCCTACAGTCTGTTAAGGCTATAGGGGGGATATTTGTATTCGCCCGTGCATGCGTGGCAGTGCATGTTAGCGGGCTGCACTAAGATCCTGGCCACCGGTGTTCAATTCTCAGCCTTCTACGCGTATCGGAGGTAAATTCCACTTAAACAACCGGCTAGCAAACGCCGAACTAAATTCGTCTTCCTGTTTTCCAGAAGGACCGGAACGAACCATACTGAACATATCTCGGAGTTAGTCTGCGGATGAAACTCCTCCAGAAACTCACGGGCATACACTCCTCACCACTACCTCGGCCTGAGTCCACAGCTGAGCACTGCGCTCCCGTATGCGCTGAGAGTTCCCACTCCAAACAACCGAACACCTTAAGTCTCAAGTCCCTGAGATCCAGTCTCTCCTGGGGCTCACGACTCTGATACCTAGTCTGCCTCGGTCTCAAGATCGTGAGACTCAGCCTCTTTGAGCCGAAATACCCTGTGACGAAGTATCCCTGGGTCTCGAGACCCTGAGACCCAGTCTAACTCAGCCTCAAGACTTTGACACCCAGTCTCCCTGAGTCTCAAGATCCTGCGTGGTACTCTACGGTAGAGTACTCCCAGGTGTCCATACTCTTTGGTTCTTTCGGTAAAGTCACGTAGGTAGAAGCTGAAGACGGTCGCTTGTTGTTGCGATCGAAATCGTCGTCATCTATTATTTTTCTACCTACGTGACTTTACCGAAAGAACCAAAGAATATGGATTCATGCAGTCACGAAAGCTTAAAATCAAGGTACTCCCAGGTGAGTTGAAAGTTGCCACTCAAAACAAACTGGACACAATCGCAACAAACCTTTGCCCCGGCTCTCTGTGCTATCAACCATCATCCGCCCCGTTGACTCCTGAGATATCCAAATACAGCCAAGAACTTGCCATGAATACAGCCGCATCCAGGCCAATCTAAACCCGCCCATCCGTGAAGCTCTACAAAACCATGCCAATTGTTCTTGACCACAGCCAGAGAACCGTGTCAATTCAAGCTTTTGCACCTCGGGAGAAATGATGACAGATCTTGGCGAACACCAATTATTCCAAACAAGCACCTCATTGCTAATCCCACTATCGAACCTTTGGGATTTAATTATAAATCTGGAACCCAATGATCCACAGTAAATCGAATCCACACATCTCACAGCAGAGCTGTGCACTGCCTTCACAGAGAGAAGCCGGCTTCAGATTGCAGAAATTTCAACCAGGCCATCGTCCACATAGAGAACGACTCTGAACTCTAATGAGTCCATATGTCTCTATGTAAAGCTACGATTCACTGTGTGAGTCTATGGATCTCTTTGTAAGTCTATAGGTCTGTATGTGAGTCTATGGGTCTCTGTAAATCTGCGTCTCGATATAAATATGCATCTCTTATATCAGTTGATATAACTCCATGTGAATCAATGAGCCTCAATGTAAGTCTATCGCTCCCGACGTGTGACCATGTCTCTGAACGTGTCTCATTCTCGCCAATTGGCTTCGTGGTTAATTAAAATAATAAAAAAGCAACTGAAACTAACGATCGTTTGCGACGTGCCCTCCCCCCCCCAGGACTACCTGACGGACCTCATCACGAACGAGAGCGTGAGCTTCTTCCGAGCGTCGCGGCGGACGTACCCGGGCCGCCCCGTGCTCATGGTGCTGAGCCACGCGGCCCCGCACGGCCCCGAGGACTCTGCCCCGCAGTACTCGGAACTCTTCCCCAACGCGTCCACGCACATGTACGCACGCCTCCTACACGCGCGACACGTACGCGACGCACGGGTGCATACCAATACACCCATACCCGTCATTCGCCACTAAGTGACGGTGACGCGTCACTGTGGCGTCTGTGCCAAGTGTGGCACAGACGCACACTCACAGGCGCCTGCGTGCATGTTAAACTTCTTTCGCACCGTACGTAGCCAAGCATGCTCGTCTGAGTATGCCGGGGGAAAGACAACACATTAAATTCAAAAGGCAGCTCTAAAAAAAATGAGCTTCAATTGGACTCGAACCGTGAACCACTGCAACAAGTGGCAAAGGCGCTGCCATTGGGCTTGTCACCGCAACAGATACACACACGCGTACGCATCCCACACACATTGCCCCGCGGACAAATTAGCGGAGCATCACAGTGGTCCATTAGCAATAGAGGGATGCGTTTTATAACTGAGCTCCATTCATTCCGTCCTGTGTGTGCCTTTGCCATCCCCCCCCCCCCATCTCTGTCCGCACGTGACCCACCTGGTGACCTTTCTGTGACCCCTACCCTTGTGCCTGTGCCCCCCCCCCCCCCCCCCACCGTGCAGCACGCCGAGCTACAACCTGGCGCCCAACCCCGACAAGCACTGGATCCTGCGCTACACGGGGCCCATGATGCCCATCCACATGGAGTTCACCAACCTCCTGCAGCGGCGGCGCCTGCAGACGCTCATGTCCGTGGACGACTCCGTGCAGCGCGTGAGCGATCGAAACGTCGTGATTTATTTTATTTTTCTACCCACGTGACTCTTACCGAAAGAACCAAAGAGTATGGATTCCTGCAGTCACGAAAGCTTCAAATCAAGATTGAGCCAATGTTGATTTGCGGCTGAGAAGATGCATAGCGCGCCATTACCAGGAACCTGGCATTGAGTTCAATTCCCGCTCATGGCCAACATCGGTGGCAAATATTTGAACCAATCCTGGGCCTCCCCGAGGTCGACTCAGATTCACGGGTTACCTGGCGCTCTGTGTAAGCATCAACACCTGGGAGACAAAGGCGGCCGTGCCTCGTGCTAGCCAGGCCAACCCCCTCGTGCGCCATGTCAGCCGTCATGAATGTTCGCGAAGTGGACTTTCCCCAACAGATTGTGAAGACTATACGGAGGATCTTTCGATTTAAAGCTTTCGTGACTGCAAGGATTCATCTTCTTTGGTTCTTTCGGTAAAGTCACGTAGAATGAGAATAAAATAATATTGTCTTATTTTATTTCCTTATTTTATTCTCATTCTACGTGACTTTACCGAAAGAACGAAAGAAGATATACGGAGGATCTTTTTGTCTTCCTGCATTCATGTGTATAGGTGCTCGCTGACTGCACTTGTCCAAACAGCCTGTGTGGACTGTACGGGGGGGGGATCTTCGTATTTGTGCTTGTGTGTCTGTAGAGGTATTGTAGCGGTTAGCGCGCTGCGCTATGAACCCAGCGACCCAGGTTCGATTCCCGCTCATGGCCAACACCAGTGACGATTATCTGAACCGGTACTGGGCCTCCCCTAGGTCGACTCAGCCTCAAATGAGTACCTGGTGTGGTGTGTAAACATCGCTACTGGGGAGACAAATGCGGTCGGGCGTGGTGCTGGCCACCCACCCCCTCGTGTGCTCGCTAACAGCACTTGCCCATATAGTCTGTTACAGGCTATACGGGGGGTATTTGTCTTTGTTCACTAACTGCACTTGCCCCAACAGTTTGTGAAGGCTACACGGGGGGGGGGGGTGTCTTCTTTGTCTTTGTTCGAGCAGATTCTGGACACGCTGGAGGAGAGCGGCGAGCTGGACAACACGTTCGTCATCTACACGTCCGACCACGGCTACCACCTGGGCCAGTTCGGCCTCGTCAAGGGCAAGTCCATGCCCTACGAGTTCGACATCCGCGTGCCCTTCTACGTGCGGGGGCCCGGCGTCGCTCCGGGGTCCACGTACGTGCACTCCGCTCTTCTCTCCATCTCTCTCTCTCTCTCCGACTCAGGCACGCTCAACTCGGTCGCCCGTAGCCTTAGGCGGGACAAATTGCTTCTCTTGCCCCACGGACTATATAGGTCCATCTCGGAGGTGGCGACGCTTGGCTCGATGGAAGGCGGTGGAGATGCAGCTTCTGGCAGAGATGGGCAAAACCACGTTGACATTACGAATCGAAAAGTCAAACTTCCTTCCTGCTCCGATGAGGAGTTGAGAGCTGGTGCTCTGGTGCTCTCAACTCCTTGGGATTGGCAGCCAGTGAATGGGGTTTACAGAAGCAGGTCAGAAGTCTTCTAGAATATTAAACGTGTGTGTCTGTGCGTGCGGAGGTGCTGTTGTGCAGCGGTCAGCTGCACTACAAAGTGTGCAAAGGGTGCGGTGCCCGGCCATCCACCGCCTTAGTGCGCCGTGCAGGCCTTCGTAGGTGCCCACTAACAAGGGGAATCCTCGTCCTTGCGCGTGCGCGAGCAGCGTCCCCCAGATTGCGCTCAACATCGACCTGGCGCCGACGATGCTGGACATGGCCGGCCTGGACATCCCCGGCGACATGGACGGACGCTCGCTGCTCAAGCTGCTGCGGCGGCGGTGGCCGCGTCGAGGCGTCGACCGCGCCAGCGACAGGTCGAGCGCGCCTGTCCGGCGGTGTTTGGCGGGGCGTCGGCACTGCCGGGAGCTTTTTCGCTTCCCGCCGGCTGCCGCGGGCGTCAATTGACCATCGGATGCAACGCCGCCGCTGCCGGATTCAGCGATTGGCGGGGCCTGTAGCATATGTTAGAAAGGGGCCCTAAAGAAGGAAGAAACACCTCAATATTCAAACGAAAATTTGTAATTGTATTTTTTCATTTGCTATACAGCCGGATAATTAATGCGACAAATCGCTAACCTTGAACACCCGGTCGTTCATAAAAGTTGAAGGCGGTATAGTACTATAGTAATAGAGCAAGTGCAGAATCACTGAACCGGAATTGATAGCTTGAAAGCATTTAGCGCGGGGCCCTTGAAAGTGCGGGGCCCTTAGTATTTGTAGCTACTTTTGCTACTGGGATAATCCGGCACTGCCCGCCGCCGGCTGCTTCACAGAATTACGTCGGAGATCACGTGACGTTGTTCGTAGGTCAGTCGCGTGCCGTTCACCGGGTCCCCCGTTTCGCCCCCAGAGGACCAAAATGTAAAGGAGCCAGTAGGCAAACGGTTTCGTCAGGGTTCGTGACAGATACGGAGTGGAACGCACTCCTTGAATTGAGTACGGCCGTGAGGGGCTTGGGGAAAAGAGGCGATGACGGGAGGGGAATTCCAAAAGTGCAGTGGTGCGAGGGAAGACGGTAGAGAAGTGTTTCGAATCGCGGTGTGGTGAGTGAGTGAGAGGGTGAGTGAGTGAGTGAGAGGAGGGTGAGTGAGTGAGTGAGAGGAGGGTGAGTGAGTGAGTGAGAGGAGGGTGAGTGAGTGAGTGAGAGAGTGAGAGGAGGGTGAGTGAGAGGAGGGTGAGTGAGTGAGTGAGAGAAGGGTGAGTGAGAGGAGGGTGATTGAGTGAGTGAGTGAGAGGAGGGTGAGTGAGAGGAGGGTGAGTGAGAGGGTGAGTGAGTGAGTGAGAGAAGGGTGAGTGAGAGGAGGGTGATTGAGTGAGTGAGAGGAGGGTGAGTGAGAGGAGGGTGAGTGAGTGAGAGGGTGAGTGAGTGAGTGAGAGGAGGGTGAGTGAGTGAGTGGGAAGCAGTAGTGTCACGGTTAGTGCGCCGGGAGGGAGGGGCGAGGGGAGGCAAGATGAAGAGAGAGAGGAACGGAAGGAGGTTAAGGAGGAAGGGACTGCTTCATGATTCAAGGGGAGTTTATTCACTTGTCGGTACCATCTGAGGTAGCATCGTTGTAACGGTTCTAATTTCTTTATGTGGCCAATAACGGTGTGAACTATGTGATCACCATAAAAAAAATAGCGGGGTTATCCAGTGATTTACTCTCATTAGCCATATAAATATATCTGGATAACCTCTGGTGATACCATTATTTTCTCTTGTACAAGGAATATAATAACTTGGATTGCCGTTATATTGTTTTGAACACGATGAGGTGGTGTGATATTCATGCTCGCGAAATGCCGATTATCGTGATACCATTCAGTTTCAGTTTTCAGTTTAATTTATTTGGTATAGCCCTGTGAGCCATTCGGCTCTTGAATCGGGTGCAACCGCAACAAACAAAAAAACAAAAACATGAACAAGAAAACATCTTGAAGTGACTATGTGACTTTGTGCAAACAGAAAATCGAAGAAAAAAGACAGCAAAATATTGCAGAAAAAGCAGTGTACACCAACGCTGTGCGCAAAAATCCCACTTTCCCTGTGCCTTTCTGAACTTCTGGTGCAAATGAAGATGACTGAACACTTATTTAACCGTAGTTTATCCCCACGTAAGCCCGGCATGGGAAGCTGAATCGCCACAACTTTGCAAACCGTCATGCGCTTTGTTGTCAGTGACACAAAACAATGACTTCGGTTTTCTTTTTTACTGAAAAAATTCGGAGGTCACCTAATAATAATGCCGTCAATTACTCTGGAAATCATTTAGCATAGTTACAAATGTAGTGGGTAATACTGTATCTGGTTGTTTAACACTTTAATAACTGTGTTTTTTTTATTTTACATGTAAGGATTTTTTTTAAATATATATAGAAAATAGAGAGCAATGATGAATTAACGATATGAAGACATTTAGCAAAGCGGACGATACGACAATCCTATTCGTTATTCATCGCACGATGTATCGTTCGAATCGCGGAGAAGACCTAGCCCCCGGTGGCCCGCGTGACTCTCACGAAGCTCTGCTTTGGGAAACCCTCCGACTCAAAGGTTATCGAAGGCTCTGCTCACGACGCTGCCCGTGTTTGTTTCCCAGCAGGCCACTCCGTCAGGGGATCGAGAGACACGTGGTATGGAGGGACAGCTTTCTCGTCGAGAGAGGGTAAGGTGGCCAACACTTCTTTAATATAGATTTGGTTTTGTTTTGTTTTTCAATTAAAGCTCGCTTTTTATTTCACGATATATTTTACTCAAGATTTTGTTCCCAATGTAATTGACCGTTTCCATAAAAGTTTTATTGAGCTACTTAAAGTACGTTTAAAGCCTTTTGTCAATCCACTGCTGGATATAGCCCCCCTTCTGTGCACCCCCTCCCCCCCCGCACTGTGCCAGTCATGAGGGTTTTTGATCATACTTCACCATGCTGGTCAGTGCGGGCTGCAGAAGGGGTGGGGATCAATACTGACGATGGATGTGGCCGGGAATCGGTTTCAAGATGCAGCCAGCTAACCACCGCCCAACAAATCCACCTCAAAGTTTTTGTTTTTATTATTGTTGGAACATTTTCAATATGTTTGCATGTATCACAGGAGTAAAAAGTATTTGGTTATTTTACATAATCAGATAAGAGGCCATTGAAATAATATATGAAACATTTTTTATCAAGGAAGCTCCGAGTCCCTTCTACTGTTGAGTGGTTATAACGCCCTTCGCTGACCCACTTTCAAAAGCAGCACTGCTTCAATTCCCACCCACGTTGTCGGAGAGCATCTGCCGTAGAATAAATGTTCAAGACCTTGCAACAACCGATGGGTTCATTGTGAGAAAGGCACCGGGCGCTTACGTAAGCTATTGCACGCGAATGTCACGACCCGGTTTTAATTGTCTAAATACAATTAGATAAAAAAAATGTCTCCAAAAAAATTGCGATCATTCTTCATTAAAAAAAAATGCTTTCCCCAAGCCTGCCCTGTACGAGTGATAACATGACCTGGAATGGGATTTCACCTAATTGAATTAATTTGGTTATAAGCGACGGCAAAATATCCAATGCGAAACACGTTTGAGTGAATGAGTGAAATGATGATGAGCCTGACCTTGTGTTTCGTGCGGTTCTCGCTGGCGCGCCTCACCATTACCGCGTGTCCTTGCAGCAAGATCCCGCGTCTCAAAGACCAGGAAGGTGGCCCGGAGGAGAGGAAACGGGAGTCCAAATGGGACAGGATCAGGACACTGTGCCAGCGATCCGAGTACAGGACGGCGTGCCTGCAGCCAGGGCAGGTAAGGAACACTTGGCATCACTTGCCAGGGCAGGTAAGAGACACTTGGCATCACTTGCCAGGGCAGCCAACCGAAACCACCCACTTCGATTTTTTTTTGACAATCCGACGCTCTCTGCCTTCATGAGATTGTCATAAATGTAAATCAGATTTGTGCCGTGCGTTATCTATTGGACTTATGCGTGTGCATGACCGTGAATTCTTATACATAACCAGACAAGAGGTCAATGAAATTCTAATATTTTTAATATTTAAAGACCCGAGATCGTTGCGATTGACGTCATTAGATGTTGTACGGCTACGTTGAAGCGGACGGCAGCTAGTAAGGTTATCGCACCCACAGTTAATAACCGGGAGCGACGAACACGCGACTGCTAGGCCAGGGTTCGGCAACTTAAAATAACGAGAGCCCATTGTTTTTTTTCGAACGGAAAAAACCCCATCTATGAACATACAAACCGACGTGTCGTGTGCGAGGAGAGCAGGAGGGGTGGTATGCTGGAGGCGGGTGGAAACACTCGAACTCTGTACAGATGGACTACAGATAGACGTGAATCCACTCGCTGGACCACCAACGCATTGAATGTTGTGCTGTTCCCTCGCTGTACTTCAGAGGCTGCACTGCACGGAGGACAAACTGGGCAGACCGAGGCTGTCAAAGTGCAGGGCCCGGCTAGGGGACGCGAGCTCGGGAGAGCGGCAGCGACGGAGTTCGGCCAGGACACGGCGCCACGGGGCTGCGGCTGCCGTGGGCAGCCCCGGTGCTCGGTGTCACTGCCGAGTCAGACGCAGCAGCAGCGGCGGCGGCAGCAGCGGCAGCAGCGGCAGCAGCGGCGACACCGAGACAGCCGGGAGACCGAGACGGAGCCGGAAAGCTAGCGGATGGAAGAACCCGCGGGTAGAAGATTCACAGCTGACTCCGGTGACACACAGGTGCTGGCCAAGACATTTAAATCGATGATTCAGAGTCAACCTCTAAGGGGCCGTCCATAAATGACGTCACGCACCTGGGGGGGGGTCAGAAATTTGTGACGATGTGTGACCAAGGGGGGGGGGGGTTTGAGAAATGTGACGTCACATCAAAATGAGCAACTTTACATAAATATAGACAACACGTTCTAGTTAAGTCTAGATTTGAAGTTTTCGTGACTGCAATGATCCATACTCTATGTTTTTTCGGTAAAGTCACGTAGTTACAGTAATTTTGCTGTGCTAGTTACACCTGATGACGGAAGCTTGTGTTGCCTCCGAAAAGTCGTGATTAGATTAACTTTATTTATTTTTTTAACTACGTGACTTTACCGAAAGAACCAAAGAGTACGTTCTAGTGAATTAAATAGACTTTTAAATAAATGTTTTCTCCTACAACATCAGAGTACAGCACCACATTAAATACGCACTACAATGACAAGAGTTTAAAGCGATTTGAAGCATGTTTTATCTTTTTTTGTGGGGGCAGAACTTTGTGACGTCATATTTGAGAGGGAGTCTGACTTTTTGTGACGTCATGTGACGAAGGGGGAGGTCAAAAATCGTCCAAAATAGCGTGACGTCATTTATGGACGGCCCCTAAATACCTAAATAACCAGGGGGGTCGCTGGATTTAAACCGTGAACCTCTGCAATAAGTGACGAACACGCTACCGCTAGGCCATCGCTATGATTGATGAAACAATTATGAATGATAATGATCGTGATGATCACTAGATATTATTTTATTTTAATTAAGAATTGTGGAATGATGGCATAATAATGCCAGGAGGGGTGTCGAACATACAGAACGCATCCGAGAGAACATCTCAGAAGGAGATGGAGTAACAAAATGCCATCAAGTGCAAGTGCTGGATGAGAGGTGGTGGCAGATTTGGGAAGGGGGGGGGGGTTCAACCAGCAGTGGATTGACCATGGCTGACGATGACTGGCCAGGTGGCTTAGTGGGACTGAGCCTCTCGCAATCGGAAGATTGCGAGTTCAAACCCTGGTTGGGAGGGGGGGGGGGTTGGCTTAGCCCATCATACCTCCAGGGTTGGTAAAGTAAGTACCACTTTGTGAGCAAGTCAACAGTGGTTGTCCTATTACAGAGCTACGCCTGCCATAGGATCGTGGAATTCCCTGCACTGGCTCTGGGATGTCAACAGAAGGTGCCCACTACCTAAATTTTCATTTGAGCAGGAAATCACTTTGATGATGATGATGTTATTGGCTTGATGATGATGATGATGACGATGGTGACAGCGATACTGATGTCCACTGATGTAGGTGCTTCCTGCTGCCGAACAGCACGGTACAGTGCGACGTGAAGCTGTACCGCTCGCTGCGAGCCTGGAAGAGACACAAGCTGCTCCTGGACGAGCAGGTGCGACTCCCTCGCAGACGCTGATCGCAGCCAGCAGAGGGCAGCGGCACCAGATGTACCCCGCAAAGGCGGAGAGATGGGCGGTGTCTTCACCCCTGCACGACACGGAGCGTCAACGAGCAACGTCGTTGCCCGTGGCTGTACACTCCGGGGAAGGGGAGTAGAGTCCAGGATATGATAATGCACGGATAAAGGAAACGCCACGGGAATTGAATGGAGAAGAGAAGGAATGGTAAATAAGAGGAAATGGATGGAAAAGGATCGGAGAAACGGGAGCAGAGGGGCAGGAGAGATGAGGATTGGGCGGAAGAGGCCACATCAGGGCCTCGACGCTGCTGCACGGAGCGGCGTCTGTTGTCACAGTGGGCGGCGGGGAGAGGAGAGGCGTTCAGGGTGGCCGCAGAGAAGTCACGTGATTTAGAGGTGCCTTGTGCTTATTTAGATATACCGTATGGGTAGGTAATGTAATTCCTTTAAATTCTAGATTTGAAGCTTTCGTGACTGCAAGGATCCATACTCTTTGGTTCTATTCGTTAAAGTCACGTGGGTAAAAAATAAATAAAATAACAAGACATTTCTTTTTTGTTATTTTATTTTTTACCTACGTGACTTTACCGAATGGAACCAAAGAGTATAATTCCTTTAATAATGTGTAATTGAGATCTAAATTACACACCTCAACGTTATTTGATAATTTGCATATAAATTACACGAGGCACGGTCAATTGTTAATTTGTATCGACTTGACAATATTCCAGTGATTTTTAATTCGAATGTTAATTACCCATCTCTGCCACAGCTGTAGCTCCCACTGACTTTCACCAGTCCTGGCGTTGCCAGCTCCTCAAAGGGGAAAGTCGCCCAACGAACCTCAAAACATGCGTTTATGACGCTAGATAAGACCTTTTTTTTTTGTTCAAGGGCCACAGCGGTGATTGGTTGCACCTTAAGGTAGCACAGATTTACTTACTGTATATGGCTAAAGAGAGTGAATGTGATCTTCATAGCCCCATTAGTTTCAAATGCTGGTCACCACAAGCGACCAATATTTGACACGTAAAGATATTGGAACCACGAGAGTTGTGATGCCACCTCGAGTGGTATTTTCAAGTGGAACATCTGGGTCAACGGGCTCCCGGACTTGTCGACCTCGAGTCGTCAAAACAGTCACTCGACAATTCACCAAGTATTACAGATAATACACACGCTGTCCTCGCCATCAGCACCACGAGCTTACAAATCCTCCCCTCCACCCCCCCCCCCCCCCGCCTTGCCTCTTCTGTACGTATGTTGAACTTTTTTTGCACCGTACGTAGCCAATCGTGCTAACCGGTAGTGCGTTTTTTGAGAAGTCTGCTCCGTGCAAGTGAGTGAATTGCCCAGCGAAATGAGAGGCGCGCGAAACCTAATTCGCCGTCTCCCCCCCTCCCCCCCTCCGTGGCAGATTGAGGAGCTTCACTCGCGAATGAAGATCCTGAGAAAGGTCAGAGGTCACTTGAAGAGTTCACGACCCACTGACTGCAACTGCAATGACAACAGGCAAGGAAGAGCGATCGCACACACGCGCACACGCACAGATGCACACACGCGAACGCGCGTTCGCGTGTTCGCGTGTGCGCGTGCACTGGCCATGGCCAAAGGTCCACCATTTTTAATTGTGAAGGTTTTCGCGGAAAGTATTGTTTGCGAGCACCTATTAAGGCGGTGACACAGCCGCAGGTAGCCAACCGATTAGCACAGTTGGCTATGTATGGTGCGAAAGAAGTTCAACATACATACAGAGGTTCGCTTTTCGAGCCCTACGGCTTGCCCTGGTCAATGCTGCTTCACAGTGCACGTAAAAAAACGACCCTGTGACGTTAGTCGAAAAAGAGCTGGCCCCCCGCACGAGCATCCTGGTTCAAATTTGAAAAAAAAAAAAACTCGCAGACATTCTCAATGAGGAAAATGTAAAGCAGCATTAGCCACGTTTGTCATAATCACCGCCTTACTATATAAACACATACGTGACGTACTCTTTGGTTCTATTCGGTAAAGTCACGTAGGTAAAAAATTAAACAACAAAAATCACGACGTTTTGGCCACAACACAAGCGGCCTTCATCAGGTGAAGGGACCAGACATTCTGGTCGTCGTGATTTTTGTTGTTTTATTTTTTACCTACGTGACTTTACCGAATAGAACCAAAGAGTATGGATCCTTACAGTCACGAAAGCTTCAAATCTACATACGTGACACTTATGTTTCAGGACATTTCCATTCTTGAGGCCAGAAATAGAGGGCAGGGGGATTGACTGTCTGGTAAGTGGAAATCGTAGTTAAAATTCGATACCTGGAAAACACGAACTATTTTCTTATGAAAACTCTATTTTCACATTGAAAGCAAATACACCAACGATCCTGAACTGTAAGAAACTCACGCCTCTCACATATTCTTGCCACTTCACAACGATTCTAAAATATCTCTGTCCTGCCATCGATGATCCAAACGGCGGGTTCCATCTCCAGCGAAGACGCTGGGCCGCATTAAACCCCATCCACCGTGCATCTCACGGCAGGCGAGGTCATCCGCAGCTTGAGTGGGGAATTGAGGACTCGTTGGCCTGATAATGTGGCAAGCTACGGCTCATGAGCCACAATTGGCCAATGAGGGCCCAATGCAAGCCACTCCTGGATGGGGAGCCAACTAATTAATGCAAGCATCTCTCGGAGGAGGAGCCAATTCAGTAATTTGTAGATTATTTAATTAAACATTTTTCTAGCTTATCCAGGAGATCCACACTGAGTCACTGGACTCATTTTCGGGAGGGTCCTACCCACTACATTGGGTTAATTTTTATTTTTAAGATGTTTGCGGACAATTCACGGGTTGTTTATACCACGTGGGAGGAAACAGGAGCACCCGGTGAAAACCCAGGACTTGTGCGAGGGGGCAACACTCGATTCCCGTAAAGGTGGTAACAGATGCTGATTAGCCTACTTGCTGTGCTGCCTTCTGGAGAGCCAGGGTATGGCATCTCGATGCAGCAGCCGCATCAGCGATCGACCTCGCCATCTCTCACCTCACCTTAGAACTGTGATCAAACTTTACTTTGGAATCAAATTGCCATACGCAAGAAGAGGAAGGAGATTTGAGCGGAGGAGAGTAGGGGCTGTCTACGGAAAGTATGGGTTGGGGGGGTTAGTGCCCCGTGTGTTTCTAAAGTGCAGTGTTCTTCATTGCAAGGACCGAGGGCCACTGACGGCCCCTGGTGGCCATTAGTGCGGCCCCTGACAACACACAACACGTGACAACACACAACACGTGACAACACACAACACGTGAAAACACTCTCCGTCACTATCGTGCTGCTGTCACACCCCGATGGCTTCAAATGTGTGGCGGCACTCACACTGACGATGTCTTATCGGCGAAATTGGCACCCCCCTCTGAACATTTTTAGTGATGAACGCAGCGCTTGAGAGAGAGCCCGTGATGGAATACGCAAACTGTTTTGATTTGACACTGAACGGGTTTCCATTAGGAGATACTGATCAGCAAATAAGCCCTTAAAGGACTGGGAAATACGTATGAGTGCGTGTACGTTTTAGCTATTTGTATCAAAGAGAATTGCCAATAGTTTGTGTGATCCTAATTGTCCACGAATAGAAAACTGCTCATTGGTCAAAGCTGTTAATGTTTAAATTGTCTTCTCAAGGTCTCCCCCGACAGGGTAAAGTTCAACCTCCAGCCCCGCTCTCTTTCCTTAAAAGATGGCCCTTTTCCAGAAACATCAGCCTGTTATATGACTTTCTGTTGTATGGCAGTGCTGTAATAAACTATCTATTTTGTTTTTTTTGTTAAAATTCAGTGTCGCTTATTCACTCGTTCGGACCTGCCGTGGTTGTAACGGTCAGCGCGCTGGACTTGCAATCCAGGGGTCTTCCATTTCGATCCGAACTACCGGCTTGGTGCTTAAAACAATGGTGCAAGTTTCTTAAATCCACACCGCCTCAAGTCCATACACACCGCGGAGAATCCATCGTCAGGGCGCATGTGGGTGGGGTAAAGTGTGGGTATTCCCACATATAACAAGACAGACTCAATTGAGCTCCCTCTAGTGGAGGTCTCATCCTCCAGCAGTGGTATTTGCAAGCATTTGCATAGACAGCACATTTGAGATGTTATCTCCCTCGCCTGGTATGCAGGAGGTCATGGATTCGATCCCAACCCTGACGCCTGCTGCTGTGTATTTGGAACCTGCATGTCTTTCTCGCAGTGGTCGCGTGGATTTTTTTCCGGGTCCTCCGGGTTTTCCCTCCACATTTAGAATCAACGTGCGTGTTAGAGAGTGTTCGTCTGCGATAAATTCCCACGTGACGATAAGCCACTCCGTCGAGCTATCATTTGTGTCCAGGTCACTTCTGGAAAAAAGCTGTACAGCTCAGTGGGCCTTCATCATCATCATCCTCACTATCCATGGGCAAATAACCCCGTAGGTGTCCACTGTGCATTTCAGAATCAGAATCAGAAAGGGTTTTATTCGCCATGTAAGTTCACACCGACACGGAATTTACTTTGGCAGGATGGTGCATACATTCAACATATAGGAATCTAAAATCTTAAATAAGTTTTAAACAAGTCTTACTATAATAAGGGTTAAAAGTCTAACACTAAGGGGCTGAATTATATAAAATTAAATAAATATCGAATATAAAATAGCTTTAAGATATAATTTAAAAATACAAATAGGGAAACATAGTTAATATCAGCAACGTGTCGTTATGTAGATCAAATGTTAAAAACAGTGTTAGCCCTTGGCCTTGTTTAACAGGCCAGCAGCAGATGGGAAGAAACTGTTTTTATGGCGTGAGGTTTTGGTCCTGATGGACCGAAGCCTTCTGCCGGAGGGGAGTAGCTGAAACAGAGAGTGTCCAGGGTGGGAGAAATCGGCCATAATCTTCCTCGCTCGCCTCATAGACCTTGTCGTGTGCAGGTCCTCGAGGGTCGGTAGATTGCAGGCAATTACCTTCTCAGCAGTGTGGATGATACGCTGCAGTCTGCTCTTGTCCTTGGCAGTGGCAGCAGCGTACCAGACGGTTATGGAGGAGGTGAGGATGGATTCAATGATCGCTGTATAGAATTGCACCATCATTGTCTTTGGCAGGTTGAATTTCTTCAGCTGCCGTAGAAAGTACATCCTCTGTTGAGCTTTCTTGGTGAGGGAGCTGATGTTCAATTCCCACTTGAGGTCCCGGGAGAGAATAGTGCCCAGGAAGCGGAAGGACTCTACAATTTTTACTGGGGAGTCTAACAGGGTGATGGGGGTGAGTGGTGCTGTATTCTTCCTGAAGTCCACAACCATCTCAACTGTCTTTAGAGCATTTAGCTCTAAGTTGTTCTGGCTACACCAGGTCACCAGATTGTCAGCTTCCCACCTATAGTCAGACTCATCCCCACCAGAGATCAGCCCAATGAGGGTGGTGTCATCCGCAAACTTCAATAGTTTGACGGACAGATGATTGGAGGTGCAGCTGTTGGTATACAGGGAGAAGAGCAGAGGGGAAAGGACGCAGCCCTGAGGAGTTCCGGTGCTGATGGACCTGGAGCCAGAGACTTGTGTTCCCAGCTTAACGCACTGCTTCCTGTCAGACAGGAAGTCTGTGATCCATTTACAGGTGGTGTATGGCACGTTCAGCTGGAAGAGCTTGTCCTGAAGCAGGGCAGGGATGATGGTGTTGAAGGCAGAGCTGAAGTCCACAAACAGGATCCTGGCGTAGGATGCTGGGGCGTCCAGATGCTGTAGGGTGAAGTGGAGGGCCATGTTAACTGCATCGTCCACAGACCTGTTGGCTCTGTAGGCAAACTGAAGGGGGTCCAGGAGAGGGTCTGTGATGGCTTTGAGGTGTGCCAGGACCAGGCGCTCAAAAGACTTCATTACCACAGATGTAAGGGCGACCGGTCTGTAATCATTTAGTCCTGTTGGCCTTAGCTTTTTGGGCACAGGGATGATGGTGGAGGACTTGAGACAGGCTGGTACATGGCATGTCTCCAGGGAGGTGTTAAAGATGTTGGTGAACACCGGAGACAGCTGGTCAGCGCAGTGCCTGAGGGTGGCTGGAGAGACAGAGTCCGGCCCGGCTGCTTTGCGTGGATTCTGCCTCTTGAAAAGTCTATTAACTTCTTCCTCCTGAAAGGAGATAGTCGTCTCTGTAGTATTGGTGGGGGATGGGGCCTCTTGGGTTGGAAGGGGTGGTTCAGGACAGTCCAATTGTCTTTCAAATCTACAGTAGAACTCGTTCAGGTCGTTGGCTAGGCGGGAGTCGTTAGTGGTGTGGGGGGCTCTGGGTTTGTAGTTGGTGATCTGCCTGAGCCCTCTCCAGACAGAAGCAGCGTCGTTTGTAGAGAACTGGTGTTTTAGTCTCTCTGAGTACAGTCGTTTAGCCTCTCTCACCGCTTTGCTAAACCTGTTCTTCGACTCCTTGAATCTGTCTCTATCTCCACTCCTAAACGCTTCCTCCTTCTCCAACCTCAACCTTCTGAGCTTTGCTGAGAACCAGGGCTTATTGTTGTTAAAGTTCACCCTGGTACGTGTTGGGATACAGCAGTCCTCACAGAAGCTGATGTAGGACGTCACAGCCTCTGTGAGTTCATCCAGACTATTGGTAGCAGTCGTGAACATATCCCAGTCAGTACAGTCTAAGCACGCCCGCAAATCTTCCACAGCCTCACTGGTCCACTGTTTAGATGTCCTCACAGCAGGTTTACAGAGTTTTAGTTTCTGCCTGTATGCAGGAATCAGGTGGACCATGGCATGGTCAGAGTGTCCTAGTGCTGCTCGGGGGACGGCATGGTAGGCTCTACTGACTGTAGTGTAGCAGTGATCCAGAGTGTTCCCTTCTCTGGTTGGGCATTTAATGAATTGTATGTATTTGGGGAGTTCGTGGCTGAGATTACCTTTGTTAAAGTCGCCAAGTACGATAACCAACGAATCTGGATTTGCTCGCTCCACACTCAGAATCTGATCGGCGAGCATGCGTTGGGCTTCTTTAACCTGAGGACAAGGCGGCAAATAAACTCCGACCAAAATGAGCGACGCGAACTCGCGAGGCGAGTAAAACGGTTTACAGGTTATAAAAATTGATTCAAGGAGTGGAGAACAATGTTGCAGAATCACTGTGACATCTACACACCAGCCACTGTTAATGTAAAAACAAATACCACCGCCTTTCGTCTTGCCGGAGAGTGCTATGTCACGATCCGATCTTACAAGATGGAATCCTGCTAGTTGTAGCGAAGTGTCCGGAATCAAATCACACAGCCATGTTTCCGTGAAGCACAATGCAGAAGCTGAAAGAAAGTCTTTGTTTTTTACCATCAGTAGCTGAAGTTCATCCATTTTGTTGTACAGTGAACGTACGTTGGAGAGGAAAAAGCTCGGAAGCACTGTTCGGATCCCGCGTCTGCGTAGCCGTACTAGAGCCCCCGACCGTTTACCCCTTGGGCGGCGTTTCGTTGCTTGAGCAAAGCCTAGCGCGGCATTGACTAGAATGCCTACTAATTCTGCCGCTGGAAGCAGAAAAGTAGGAATTAAATCCACAGGAGTTGTTTCCCTGATATTTAAAAGTTCGTCTCTTGTTAGAGAACTCCGAAAATCTTGGCAAAACACTGAATTGACAGACAAAACAAGACAAAACAGGGCGCACCGACCGGCTGAGGCTACCATCATCAGCGCCATCTTCGCACCAGCACGGGTGTGCTGAACAGCAGGACTCTCTCACCAGCACTGGTGTGTTGAACAGTAGGCCCCTCTCACCAGCATGGGAGTGGTGAACAGCAGGCCCCTCTCACCAACACGGGTGTGATGAACAGTAGGCCTCTCTCACCAGCATGGGAGTGAACAGCAGGCCCCTCTCACCAACACGGGGGTGATGAACAGCACGCCCCTCACACCAGCACGGGTGTGATGAATAGTAGGCCTCTCTCACCAGCACGGGTGTGATGAACAGCAGGCCCCTCTCACCAGCACGGGTGTGTTGAACAGCAGGCCCCTCTCACCAGCACGGGTGTGTTGAACAGCAGGCCCCTCTCACCAGCACGGGTGTGTTGAACAGCAGGCCCCTCTCACCAGCACGGGTGTGTTGAACAGCAGGCCCCTCTCACCAGCACGGGTGTGCTGAACAGTAGGCCCCTCTCACCAGCACGGGTCTGTTGAACAGCAGGCCCCTCTCACCAGCACGGGTGTGCTGAACAGTAGGCCCCTCAACACGGGTGTGCTGAACAGCAGGCCTCTCTCACCAACACGGGTGTGCTGAACAGTAGGCCCCTCAACAGCAGGCCCCTCTCACCAGCACGGGTGTGCTGAACAGCAGGCCCCTCAACACGGGTGTGCTGAACAGCAGGCCTCTCTCACCAGCACCGGTGTGCTGAACAGCAGGCCCCTCTCAGCAACACGGATGTGATGAACAGCAGGCCCCTCTCACCAGCACGGGTGTGCTGAACAGCAGGCCCCTCAACACGTGTGAGCTGAACAGCAGGCCTCTCTCACCAGCACGGGTGTGCTGAACAGCAGGCCCCTCTCACCAGCACGGGTGTGCTGAAAAGCAGGCCCCTCTCACCAGCACGGGTGTGTTGAACAGCAGGCCTCTCTCACCAGCAAGGGTGTGCTGAACAGCAGGCCCCTCAACACGGGTGTACTGAACAGCAGGCCTCTCTCACCAGCACGGGTGTGATGAACAGCAGGCCCCAAAACAGCAGGCCTCTCTCACCAGCACGGGTGTGATGAACAGCAGGCCTCTCTCACCAGCACGAGTGTGTTGAACAGCAAGCCCCTCTCAAGACAAAACAAGACAAAACTGGACAAAAACAGGGCACACCAACCGGCCGAGGCTGCCATCATCGGCGCCATTTTTTCCACTTTCACTTTCCTCTGTCTTGTGCTAATATGTACATCTTTCTGGCTCAGTGTGGCCTTGCCTGGCAGTAAACAAAAAAAAAACAGTACATGAAAAAATGTTTTTCGTTTTTAAATCGCCACGGTGTCGAATCAACAGCAGCCACGGCGGGAGCGGGCGACACGGCGGAGCGACGTCGCCCGGCGCGCCTGGAGAGGAAGACGCGGCCGACAGCGGCAGGAGAGGCCGCACGAGGGACAGAGCCCGCGTCGTCCGCAAAGAGGCCCCCTGCGCCTCACCGGGCCTCGTCTGCTTCACGCACGACGACGAGCACTGGCGCACGCCCCCCTTCTGGAATCGTAAGTGGCCAGCGGGAGCACGTGGCGCTTGTACGTGCCCCCCCCCCAGCCAGTGGTGGGACCACCGGAGCGTCGAGGGGGGTGGGGAGTAGCGGGGGTGAGGGGGGGGGGGTGATCACTCGCCCAACTATCCATCGTTGAGACCCTGAAAAATGGTATTTCGTTGATATTTACCAGATCAAATACGTTTAATGTTTGAAAAAATATTATTATGAATGTCGGGCCCTGTTTTAAAAAAAGCCTGATATGCTGTGATGGCCGTACTCCCACCCTGGGCAGTTGCGAGATCTGTGGAAACTTAGGGGGAGCGGGCAGCATCTTCCTCATCCACCTCTGACCTGAGGAAGACCTCTGGCCACCCTGCTGCTGTTGTTGCTGTTGTTAGATTTATTTGTATTCACCAATTTTATTAAAAATCGAGTTACATCATGTGATTAGTGATAAGCCTCTTCCACTGGCATGCCTCAGCGGAGCCAGCGCGTGATCCTCACGGTACGGGTGGTTTTCCACTGGCTGTTTGCCAAGCCATTGGAGGTGCGCGTGCCTAGAGGTGTTGCAACCTTTTCCACTGCAGACCAAAAACTCAGACATATTTCTCAGTCGGCACTCGGTCTATTTATCAAAGAGTGTGCAGTATGTACTGTCACAAAGTTCAACAGATATCCACTGGCGGAGCCAGTGGGGGGGGGGAGGGTGGTGTGGCACATGCCCCCCCCCCTAATGATCCGATCGAAATCCCTAGTTTCGATCGGATCATTGCGTTTTTTTAGTAATAAATCGGCATTTTGCGACCCCCACTGCCACTGTGTCGCATATTATTATTACGTGCCAGGGACTCTATGGGATGATAGGACAATAGTCTGAGTCCATAATTGGTAATAAGTAACGGCAAAGCGGTTATAAGCGACTCAGAATTGTGCGTAGCTGCGTACACAGTCCACGACTTCCCTGAAGGCATCGACACCTTCAGCGAGCGCGATGCCGATCACACAACGCGGTTCGAATTCGACCCTCGATCGATGGCTGCGTCATCGCCGCACACGTGTCGAGTAACAAGCAAGGGACAAGTTCCTTACTTACTAACAACTCCTTACTTACTAACAACTCCTTACCTACTAACAACTCCTTACCTACTAACAACTCCTTACCTACTAACAACTCCTTACTTACTAACAACTCCTTACCTACTAACAACTCCTTACCTACTAACAACTCCTTACCTACTAACAACTCCTTACCTACTAACAACTCCTTACCTACTAACAACTCCTTACTTACTAACAACTCCTTACCTACTAACAACTCCTTACCTACTAACAACTCCTTACATACTAACAACTCCTTACCTACTAACAACTCCTTACCTACTAACAACTCCTTACCTACTAACAACTCCTTACCTACTAACAACTCCTAACCTACTAACAACTCCTTACCTACTAACAACTCCTTACCTACTAACAACTCCTTACTTACTAACAACTCCTTACCTACTAACGACTCCTTACTTACTAACAACTCCTTACTAACAACTCCTTACCTACTAACAACTCCTTACCTACTAACAACTCCTTACTTACTAACAACTCCTCTATCATTTTTCATTGCTGGAGGGGTTGCCCCCCCCCCCTACCTGAAAATCCTGACTCCGCCATTGCAGATATCAGTACCCATCAGTTCCTGCCACCCAAAAACACGGATGCCAATCCACGGACTGTCCGGGTCAAACGTGGGCAACGTCGAGAGTCCACGGTGGGGACACGGAAGTGGGCACACGGAAGTGGGCACACGGACCTCGGTGGCATCGCCAGGCGGCGGTGGCGGACGCTTGTCATCCACACGAATGTTGCGAGACTCCCTCCCCGTGGGCGTAGAGGTAGCCTAATACACTGCCATGCTGGGAGAAGGAGGTACAGCAAATATGTCGACTCTAGCTGTTCCATTTGTGCGGGATAGAGTGTTTCCCCCTCGCACGCGAGTTTTTTTTGTTTGCTTCTGGGTGCTCCGTTTACCTCCCACATGCAAACACTCACTAAGTGGCCGATGGCAACTTAATTGTTCGACGACCACAGAGCTTGGGCAATTGTTGGCGCCTGGCTGCTGCTGCTGCTGCTGCCTTTCCTGCTCGTTTGTGGTTCCTCCGGGCACCTGTGAGTCCTCTGGAGCGAGCGAATCTCGCGCGGCGGTGCGTTACCCCAAGCTTAAACTATTATTATTTCTCCTCTCTCTCTCTCCGCGGCAAATAAGCCCTCCTGCGGCGGCGGTCGTCGTTGCCGCTGCCGACGTGGCATCGGCTCGACGGTGGCCGCGCACCTCGGCGGTCGTTCGCTTAAGCGCCGCTCTCCGTGTCTCCGACAGGAGGCGCGTTCTGCGCGTGCACGAGCTCCAACAACAACACGTACTGGTGCGTGCGCACGCTCAACAGCAGCCACAACTCGCTCTTCTGCGAGTTCGCCACCGGCTTCATCGAGTACTTCGACCTCAACGCCGACCCCTACCAGGTGACGATGTGCCTTGCGTGCGGGTGCTCAAAGACAAAGACTCCCCTCTCTCCCCAGGGCGCCACGGTGGCAACATTTTAACAACTTCACCTGGTGTACGGGAGGTCGTGGATTCGATCCCGACCCTGACGCCGACCTGTTGTATATTTGGAGTTTGCGTGTCACTCTCCCCGTGGCCGCGTGGATTTTTTTTACCGGGTCCCCCCCCGCATTTATCTCCTACCGCGTTAAGAATCAACACCACGCATCTCGAGTATTTGGCTGCTACAAATTTCCACGTGATGAGCCACTTCATTGGGCTAGCATTTGTGTCCAAGTCGCTTCGGGAAAAAAAGGGCTACATAGCTCAGTGGGCTTCACCTGGTAAAGTGATTAAAAAAAAACACGCAGTTTAGTTTTGGTTTTAATTGCAGTTGGGCCAAGTTCTGTCTGTAGGCACCTACGGAGGCCGGCATGGCACGTGGCAGTGTGGGCGGCGAGTACCATCACACCCGGCCCCCATTGCTCTCCCTAGTGGGGGTATTTTACACACCTCACTCATTGAAGGCTGAGTCGACCTAGGGGAGCCCTAGAACCGGCTGAGATGTCCGTCACCGAGCGTGAATTGAACTCGGGTCGCCGGGTTCGTAGAGCAGTGTGCCAAAGCTACGCTGCCGCTCATGATGCGGTGATATGCGTCACGCGCAAGCGTGCACGCAAATGAAAGACGAAGATTTTCAACTGCTCTTTGATTCGTTCGGTAAAGTCAAGCAGAAAGAAAATAAATTCCACAATAGAATACGACGTTTCGATTGCAACGCGAGCAACCGTCAATAGGTGGAACTAAATTTGAGAGAGAGACAAAACAAAGACACGGAGACACACAAGATAGACACACAAGCAGAGAGAGACAACACAGAGACACAGAGAGAGAGACAACATAGACACACAGTTTAAATATTTCAATATTTCGTGCAGCCTCTTACATCATGTGTTTTTTGGGAAGTCTTTCGATAGCACACTGATTTCTGCCTTAACCATGCCACCACTTCAAGAGGTTTTACTGAATACGTGTGTGGTGTGCATTTATGAGTGTACGTGTGCGCGCCTGTTTATATGTGTGAGTGTTGTGTGTGTGTAGTAGTGTGGGGAGCGGTAGTGTAGCGGTTAGCGTGCTGCGCTATGAACCTGGCGACCCGGGTTCGATTCCCGCTTACGGCCAACACCAGTGACGATGATCTGAACCGGTCCTGGGCCTCCCCTAGGTCGACTCAGCCTGAAATGAGTACCTGGTGCGGTGTGTAAACGTCGCCACTGGGGAGACAAAGGCGGTCGGCCGTGGTGCTGGTCACCCACCCCCTCGTGTACCGTTCCGGCCTTCATAGGTGCTCGCTAACAGCACTTGCCCCTACAGTCTGTGATGCCTATACGAGGGATATTTGTTTTTGTGTGCACCTGTTTATATGTGTGTGTGTGTGCATGTGTGTGTACGTGTTCTGCGGTGTTTCAACATCAGCAACATGGAGACAAACGGTTGTGTTTTTTTTTAATTTGTTGTCCTTCCCTCACACCTCCGATTAGCACGGTTGGCTATGAACGCTTCGAAAGAAGTTCTACTTACATACAAATTCGGCTGGGCGTGTTGCTGGCCACCCTCTGCGCTTTGTGCTGGCCTTAATTCATGTTTAGTGACTGCACTTTCTACAACAGCACGTGTAGGCTACACGAGGGATATTTGTACATATGTATATGAAAGTGTGTTTGCGCGTGTGTGTGCATGTGTGTGTGTGCGTGTTTGTGTGTGCTGGCACCGCCTCCGTTTCCACGCAGATGCAGAACGCGGTCCACACGCTGGAGCGCGGCGCCCTCGGCGCCCTCCACGCTCAGCTCGCTGGGCTCCGTGCCTGCCGGGGACTCGGCCAGTGCGAGCCGGCCCCCAGCAACACACACACAGGTAGTGGTCATCCCACACAGCGCCCCCCCTCCCTACTCACTCACAACCCACTATACCCCCTCCCTACTCACTCACACTCATCACCCTGCAGCAGCACGCACACTCATGCACCTACCTCACTCACTCAGAGTCCATCATCTTATACTGATCCACCTACCCCACTCACGTAACACCCATCATCTTATACTGATACACCTACCACACTCACTTTACATCCATCATCTTATACTGATCCACCTACCCCACTCACTTTACATCCATCATCTTATACTGATACAAATACCCCACTAACTTTACATCCATCATCTTATACTGATACACCTACCCCACTCACTTTACATCCATCATCTTATACTGATACACCTACCTCACTCACTCAGAGTCCATCATCTTATACTGATCCACCTACCCCACTCACTTTACATCCATCATCTTATACTGATCCACCTACCCCACTCACTTTACATCCATCATCTTATACTGATACAAATACCCCACTAACTTTACATCCATCATCTTATACTGATACACCTACCACACTCACTTTACATCCATCATCTTATACTGATACACCTACCACACTCACTTTACATCCATCATCTTATACTGATCCACCTACCACACTCACGTTACATCCATCATCTTATACTGATACACCTACCACACTCACTTTACATCCATCATCTTATACTGATACACCTACCACACTCACTTTACATCCATCATCTTATACTGATACACCTACCACACTCACTTTACATCCATCATCTTATACTGATCCACCTACCACACTCACGTTACATCCATCATCTTATACTGATACACCTACCACACTCACTTTACATCCATCATCTTATACTGATACACCTACCACACTCACTTTACATCCATCATCTTATACTGATACACCTACCACACTCACTTTACACCCATCATCTTATATTGATACACCTACCTCACTCACTTTACATCCATCATCTTATACTGATACACCTACCACACTCACTTTACATCCATCATCTTATACTGATACACCTACCACACTCACTTTACATCCATCATCTTATACTGATACACCTACCACACTCACTTTACACATCATCTTATATTGATACACCTACCTCACTCACTTTACATCCATCATCTTATATTGATACACCTACCACACTCACGTTACACCCATCATATTATACTGATACACCTACCCCACTCACGTTACATCCATCATCTTATACTGATCCACCTACCACACTCACGTTACATCCATCATCTTATACTGATACACCTACCCCACTCACGTTACATCCATCATCTTATACTGATCCACCTACCCCACTCACTTTACATCCATCATCTTATACTGATACACCTACCCCACTCACGTTACACCCATCATTTTATACTGATACACCTACCACACTCACTTTACATCCATCATCTTATACTGATACACCTACCACACTCACTTTACACCCATCATCTTATACTGATACACCTACCACACTCACTTTATATCCATCATCTTATACTGATCCACCTACCCCACTCACTTTACATCCATCATCTTATACTGATACACCTACCACACTCAGTTTACATCCATCATCTTATACTGATACACCTACCCCACTCACTTTACATCCATCATCTTATACTGATACACTTACCACACTCACTTTACATCCATCATCTTATACTGATACACCTACCACACTCAGTTTACATCCATCATCTTATACTGATACACCTACCACACTCACGTTACATCCATCATCTTATACTGATACACCTACCACACTCAGTTTACATCCATCATCTTATACTGATACACCTATCACACTCACTTTACATCCATCATCTTATACTGATCCACCTACCCCACTCACTTACATCCATCATCTTATACTGATACACCTACCACACTCACTTTACACCCATCATCTTATACTGATACACCTACCACACTCACTTTAGATTCATCATCTTATACTGATACACCTACCCCACTGACTTTACATCCATCATCTTGTACTGATACACCTACCGCACTCACGTTACATCCATCATCTTATACTGATACACCTACCACGCTCACTTTACATTCATCATCTTATACTGATCCACCTACCCCACTCACTTTACATCCATCATCTTATACTGATACACCTACCCCACTCACTTTACATCCATCATCTTATACTGATACACCTACCACACTCACTTTACATCCATCATCTTATACTGATACACCTACCCCACTCACTTTACATCCATCATCTTATACTGATCCACCTACCCCACTCACTTTACATCCATCATCTTAAACTGATACACCTACCACACTCACTTTACATCCATCATCTTATACTGATACACCTACCACACTCACTTTACATCCATCATCTTATACTGATACACCTACCACACTCACTTTACATCCATCATCTTATACTGATACACCTACCACACTTTACATCCATCATCTTATACTGATACACCTACCCCACTCACTTTACATCCATTATCTTATACTGATACACCTACCACACTTTACATCCATCATCTTATACTGATACACCTACCACACTCACTTTACATCCATCATCTTATACTGATACACCTACCACACTCACTTTACATCCATCATCTTATACTGATACACCTACCACACTTTACATCCATCATCATATACTGATACACCTACCACACTTTACATCCATCATCATATACTGATACACCTACCACACTCACTTTACATCCATTATCTTATACTGATACACCTACCACACTCACTTTACATCCATCATCTTATACTGATACACCTACCACACTTTACATCCATTATCTTATACTGATACACCTACCACACTCACTTTACATCCATCATTTTATACTGATACACCTACCACACTCACTTTACATCCATCATCTTATACTGATACACCTACCACACTTTACATCCATCATCATATACTGATACACCTACCACACTTTACATCCATCATCATATACTGATACACCTACCACACTCACTTTACATCCATTATCTTATACTGATACACCTACCACACTCACTTTACATCCATCATCTTATACTGATACACCTACCACACTTTACATCCATCATCTTATACTGATACACCTACCACACTCACTTTACATCCATCATCTTATACTGATACACCTACCACACTCACTTTACATCCATCATCTTATACTGATACACCTACCCCACTCACTTTACATCCATCATCTTATACTGATACACCTACCACACTCACTTTACATCCATCATCTTATACTGATACACCTACCACACTCACTTTACATCCATCATCTTATACTGATACACCTACCACACTCACTTTACATCCATCATCTTATACTGATCCACCTACCACACTCACGTTACACCCATCATCTTATACTGATACACCTACCACACTCACTTTACATTCATCATCTTATACTGATACACCTACCCCACTCACTCAATCTCCATTATCACATACTGATCTACCTACCCTCTCGAATCAATCAAATTCCCAACATCTCCCCGTTCAATGCCAAGCAACTCCTACTGATTCTTCCGGCCTCATGCACTCAGTGTCCACCACCAAACAACCTATCCCCACCCACCCATAATTCTCACACTGGCCTCAAACTCTCGAAGCATCGGCCCACTCAGTGCGATTCGCGGGTATCCAAAATCGCGGATAGCAAGTTCGTGAATAACGAGGGGATACTGCAGGCCATCTGTGCATCATCGCTCGAGTGAGAAAAATATACTTGCAGATTACTCAATCGGAGTAGCACGGGCAAGTATTGACCCCCCCACCCCCACCCCTACTGATGTACCATGTCCCACTTGCAGGCCGGCGACACGCCACTTTGTGCCACACAGGGGACCGCTTTTATCAGGGGGTCCCCTCGGCTACAATAAAAAATCTCACGACTTTTCGACCATAACACAAATGGTCATCATCAGGTGTGAAAACCACACCTGATGATGACCGTTTACACCTATCATCTTATACTGATACTCCAAAACGTCGTGAGAATTTGTAATTGTTTTATATTTTTATTTTATTTTATTGTTTCCCTTCAACGTGACTTTACCGAAAGATTTCGATTTAAAGCTTTCGTGACTCCAATGATTCATCTTCTTTGGTTCTTTCGGTAAAGTCACGTAGAATGAGAATAAAATAATAAATTGATAAAATAAAATAACACAATAATATTCTCGCGACGTTTCGGCCACAACACAAGCGGCCTTCATCAGGTGAAGGGACGAGACTGTCTGGTAGGACAGCGCTGGAGTGAAAGAGCCACGTTCAAATCACGGCCTTTAAGCTGTGTGAGAGGAACAAAGCGCCTTGACAAAGGAATTAGCATATAATTTAGCATTGAAATGGCTGAATGATTAGCTTGTGACTGGTCCATTGTCAAGGTGTGCCTCTGCGGATGTGTATGCTTTAACTTAGCTATTTCAATGCTAAATTCTATGCTAATTCCTTTAACAAGGGGTGCCTCTGCGGATGTGTATGCTTTAACTTTTAACATAGCTATTCCTGTGACCAGTCACAAGCTAATCATTCAGCCATTTCAATGCTAAATTATATGCTAATTCCTTTGTCAAGGCGCTTTGTTCCTCTCACACAGCTTAAAGGCCGTGATCTGAACGTGGCTCTTTCACTCCAGCGCTGTCCTACCAGACAGTCTCGTCCCTTCACCTGATGAAGGCCGCTTGTGTTGTGGCCGAAACGTCGTGAGAATATTATTGTGTTCTTTTATTTTATCAATTTATTATTTTATTCTCATTCTACGTGACTTTACCGAAAGAACCAAAGAAGATTTACCTAAAGAGCTAAGAATATGTTTTACTGCAGTCACGAAAGCTTTAAATCAAAACATAAATATCAGTTTAACACGTAGGCTTTTGCGACCAATATTATTCATAATAAACGTTTTTGGGTTAGATCGCGTTATTTATAAATGTGTCGTAACCCTCCACCACCCGACACGGCCAATCAGCAAAAAAAAGTGTCACATTGACAACAGACAAATAGTTCACTACTTTAGCCCACCGGTGTGTTGAGGAGTGAATCCACAACATTTACAGTTTTTTCAGTACGACGTTTCGCTAGTGCGGCCTAGAAGCGTATTATTAAATAATACATATTACAATTCCTCATAGGGGAAACACATACTAATTAACTGATTACTAACGTAGCATATAATCACAATAACACACATTACAACTAATTACTAATCTACAACTCATTTCTAATCATAACCATTGACTGATTACCAATCGATTATATAATTACAATACCCCCCCCCCCCCCCCCCCCCCCCCGCCTCAAATCACTGCACCTGAAATGAGTTAAATGATGACGTCACCCTGCTGCTCTTTTTAAGACCGGGAGCAAGCGAGGGCTTTACCATTCTGGCGCATTGCCCGATGATGCTGGATGTAATTACCATTGAAACGTCGTACTACTCAAACTGTAAATGTTGTGGATTCACTCTTGAACACACCGGTGGGCTAAAGTAGTGAACTATTTGTCTTTTGTCAAAGATTGAGATGAGATTGTGTTGGCAAGCGTGTTGAGATGTTGGAGCAATGCGGTGCCCCAATCTCGTTATTCCTCATCCGGCGTCCTTCCCCGACCCAGAGAATTTCAAAACTCCTGGCCGCAACGAAAATGTTGTCTCGCCAGCCGCTGCGCCCGTCGCTATAAATCACTGAGCGCCCCGTGGGACCTAATTACACGTCCACGCATCCACTCCCGGCGACGGGCAACATTTGCAGACCCTGCCGCCGCAAACACCGCCTGCATTGCCAAATCCGAGCTTTTTTTTGTGGAATAAAAGCTGCGTTTGTCATTTTTTTTTTATTCCCTGAAGATGTTACCCTTTGTTGTTGTTGTTGCAGGATTGAAAGAGGACAACGATTCTAAAGAGCAAAGGTAAGGGCGGTCCTTCTGTCTCATCGTAAATAAAATATTTGCACCCCGTGCCAAGCCTGGTGGCAGCTGCCACGGTGTAACAGTCCGCACGCTGGACCCGCTGATCCAGAGAGCGCCGGTGCGATTCACTCTCCCGGCGCGGCATCATCCGACGATAGAGCCTCCTTGAATCTCGAGACTTTCTCAGGGTAACTTCTGAGTTGGTTATTTCATTCAAGAATTTGAGAAAATACGATATTTTACACACACACACACACTCTGACTTTATTATTTCAGTTGGTAAGGCCCCATTGAGCAAAGGAGCTCTGTTATTCGGACGACTACGGCTACAAGACAATCGGCAGTGGTGGCAGTTACAGGACATTGCGGTTATCTATAGTTACATAGAGATCCATAGAGTTACATGGAAATCCATAGAGTTGCATAGGATCCATAGAGTTACATGGAAATCGATAGAGTTACATAGGGATCCATAGCATTACATGGAGATCGATAGAGTTACATTGTTGAGATCCATAGAGTTACATGGAAATCGATAGCGTTACAGAGAGATCCATAGAGTTACATGGAGATCGATAGTTACATAGATATCCATAGAGTTACATGGAGATCGATAGGATCACATCGTGATCCATTGAGTTACATGGAGATCGATAGAGTTACGTAGTGATACATAGAGTTACATGCAGATCGATAGTCACATAGTGATCCATAGAGTTACATGAAGATCGATATAGTTACATAGGGATCCAGAGTTACATAGAGATCGATAGAGTTACATAGAGATCCATAGAGTTACATGGAGATTGATAGAGTTACATAGAGATCCATAGAGTTACATGGAGATCGATATAATTGCATAGTGACCCATAGAGTTACATGGAGATCGATAGAGTTCCATAGAGATCCATAGAGTTACATGGAGATCGATAGAGTTCCATAGTGATCGATAGAGTTACATAGAGATCCATAGTTACATGGAGATCGATAGAGTTCCATAGTGATCCATGTAGTTACATAGAGATTCATAGACCACAGCCCACACCGTTGGTAGTGGCGGCAGTTATAGAATGTTACAGGGTGGTTGTCTGCAAACTTACAACAGCAAAAAAAATAACAAACCGTTGACACAACATCCACGCCAGAACTTAATGCAAACAGGATAAACAAGATATGAACAATAAGAATAGGTTTTACCCTTTCTGGCAATAACAACAAGTGGTAAGATGTTCAAACACCAAAATAGATACCTTTTGCAAGGCATCTAATTGTACTTGTGATGAACATGCAAACAAACACGCTCTGATAATATATGGACATTGTCTTTGAAACTGATTGTCCTACATCAGAGACATCCTCCTTTATGGTCTAGTCTCATCAGTGCCAGACCAGAGAACGCCAAAAGGCGGACAGTACAAGGACAAGGCACCATCAGAGACCTTTATAGCTCGCAATATGCACTCTTATCCATTCCGGTAATATGACAGAGGAAAAACATTTTTTTTACAAACGTAATTAACAATTTAACAGTGGGCTTTTAGGGGAGCCACAGTGATTTAGTATAACTTTGTGCATGAGGCAGGGTGGATCGTTGACACAGCAGTTATCGCCCTACGCCGTTAACCCGGCGGCCCGAGTTGGCATCCCGGCCGCGGCTAACATCAGTGACGAGTGGTACGAGAAGCGGTCCCTGCCCTCCTCCCCATCACCCATCACCAACTGGCCAACCTCCGCGCCCGACGGAGAGTCAGGGGAGGAGGCCTTCGACCGTTTGTGGATTGAGAATGGCTGGAATTCATCACGTCGTTTTGTCGATTTCTTTCGTGTGCCGGGTGGCCAGTGACAATTTGGCAGCATTAGTCTCCCATTCAATCGCTGCCACTACCGCCACTGTTCCACCCCCCACCCACCACCACCACACACTGATCCAATCAGCCGCCACCATCCATACGAGCAGCGGTGCAGCGGTAGGTAGCGGCAGTGGCAGCAGCAGTAGACGATTTATTGACCTTTGACATTCGCAGAGCTCACCGCAGGCACAGTATGGACGCGAGAGAAAACTCATGAAAACACCAACAAGAAAAAAACACGAGCAATGGCTTTCGGTAGATCGTCTATGAAAAATAGGCTTAGAGGTGAGCGATTATAATCCAGTGAATGTTACATTTCTTGATGAGGGACCCTTCGGTGGTGATCGAAGCGTGTGGTCGGAAGGACAAACGGACGACCTCTGGGCCTGAGGGCCATTGCAACTGCGCATTTGGCATTCTGTATAATTGTTTGCTGGAGGAGAGTGGCTTTTATTGAGCTGCTCGCCGAGTCAGCGGGTGTCTCGTGTGCCCTTGGGATTGACGTTCGGAGGCGACGCCATGGTGCCGAAATTGCGCCTGCAGGCATCGAGTAGCCCAAGAGCTGTAGATGTGTCCCGCACCGCCATCCCCAAGTCAAACTTCGCTCAGCTGGGCGGTCCCTCCTTCTCTTCTGCTGCTCCCACAGTCGGGAACTCCCTTCGCCCGGCTATGTGGGCGGCAGTGTTGTGGCGCGGTGGGTAACACTCATTTATTTAGAAGTGCTCGTTTGTATTTAGCTTGTTGTGCCCTCTACCCGCACTGCCGGTTAGCACGTTTGGCTACGTACTGTGCAAAAATAAGTTCTACGTACGTAGAACACTCGTGCCTCGCAGCAAGAGGAGCCTTGAGTTCGCCTTTCTGTGTGGCGGTTTTATCCTCCCCCTGTTGTTCTGCGTGGGTTTCCTCCGGGCTCCGTGGTTTCCACCCATAGCTAAAGAACGCAGACATTGTGACCAGTGTCAGTAGAACACCCAAATGCCGATATATTATCAACAAACTAAACAATATTTTTTTATTTATTTTACCAGGCAAGGCCCACTGAGCTATGTAGCTCTTTTTAGAAGCGACCTGACCACAAATGGTAGCTCTACGAAGTGGCTTATCACGTGGAAATGTATATAGCAGCCAAATACTCTAAATTACTGAGTGCAAATTACTCGATTGGGATTACACGTGGCAGTGTCACTGCCTACTGCGGGGAGGAAATAAAACTTGCCAGGACCTTCCTGAAAAGAGTCTTGAGACTCGGTGAAGCTTTTCTGGGTAAACAAATAATGTAATAATAATAATTGTCCTAAGCTATTCACCGCCTGTCTCTTTCCCTCTCTCTCTACGGGAAAATGATTGTAAATGTTGTGGATTTTCTCTCCAACATACCGGTGTTCTTTGCTAGTAACTAATCGGCATGTTTTGTTTACGTGACCAACCTTACTAATTGGCTATGCCGGGTGGTGGCGGGTTTAATGACACTTTCATATTTATGCAATCTAACCCCAAAACAAACCTAATTTATGGGTAAAAATGAATATGCCTCCTTTACCCAGAACGCCCGTGTCCGCCAATTGTTCTGCAACGGCGTCCCGACGTTGCAGCCTCTCACCTTTAGGACGCTCCGCACGACGCGTTCACGACACACTCACGACACGTTCACAACACGCTCACGACACACTCACGACACGCTCACGACACGTTCACGACACACTCACGACACACTCACGACACACTCACGACACACTCACGACACACTCACGACACGTTCACGACACACTCACGACACACTCACGACACACTCACGACACGTTCACGACACACTCACGACACACTCACGACACACTCACGACACGTTCACGACACACGACACACTCACGACACACTCACGACACGTTCACGACACGTTCACAACACGTTCACAACACACTCACGACACACTCACGACACACTCACGACACACTCACGACACACTCACGACACACTCACGACACGTTCACGACACGTTCACAACACGTTCACAACACACTCACGACACACTCACGACACACTCACGACACACTCACGACACACTCACGACACGCGCGCCGTGGATGTGCGTAGCTCAGCCCCCGGTGTTGGTGTGACAGCCGAAATGACGACAATTGGGACCCTCCACGCTGTCCCCGGTTCTAAGAGACATTAAAATAGCAAGCGCAGGGAGGAGCAAATTTGGGGATGCCGTGTAAGGTTAATGCCGTGAATAATAATAATAACGAGGGCGGTGGCTGGCGAGTGTTGCAGCTCCAGGAGGAGATTAAGCAAGCGCCGCATCCCCCCCAAATGTTAGTGCATGAGTTCAAACTCTGGCAAGGGTCGACGGGAATGACAGTAACGATAATTGCAACAATGTTGCCACTGTGTTAACTTTAATAGTGGCACTTTATCCAGAAAAGCCGCATTAAGTCTGGATGCTCTTTTTTCCAGTATCATCCTGCATTGGGATGTTTGGCCAATTACACGAATGAGTGTTTGGCTTGCGAGAGAGAAAACCAGAGAAAACTGATGCGCTACAAGGGGCAACAGCCAAAGCTTCCACACAGAAATATTTAATAATATATTGCTGTACCACGGTGCCCTGAGCATCCCACACACCGAGATTACGGCACCCACAATTTTCATATACTCACCTACCTACTCGCTCGATCACTCACTTTCACCTGTTCGCTCACTAACCCACTCACTCACCCGCTCGCTCAATCACTAACCCACTCACTCACTGGCCCACTCACTCACTAACCCGCTCGCTCACTGACCCGCTCGCTCACTTACTAACCAATTCACACACTCACCTGCTCACTTACTCACCCACCCACTTGCTCACTCACTCACCCGCTCACTCACCCGCTCGCTCACTCACTAACCCATTCACTGACTGGCCCACTCACTAACCCGCTCGCTCACTTACTAACCAATTCACTCACTCACCTGCTCACTTACTCACCCACCCACTTGCTCACTCACGCACCCACTCACTCACCCGCTCGCTCACTCACTCACCCACTCACTCACTGGCCCACTCACTAATCCGCTCGCTCACTTACTAACGAGTTCACTCACACGCCTGCTCACTTACTCACCCGCCCACTCGCCCGCTCGCTCACTCGCTTACTAACTCGATGGCTCACCTGCTCACTCACCCACTTTCTCGCCAACTTAATCACCCCCTCAATCACTCACCCACCTGTGATATCCGACTCATGTGGCTGCCACCAATGGTTTTCATGGTTTAATACAATTAACGTGCTTGTTTCCTTCAGTCGTGTCCTTCTAAGTAAGAACCCACCAAACCGCCGGTGATTGTGAACACTGTTCTTCATCGTCACTGTCGCAGGCTGTGGGAGCAGAGGACATGGAGGAGGTTTTTTGAGACACCCAAGCCCGAATCTGCTGTAAGTGACTCAAGCTGCTACCCTTGTACATTGTTTTGCCATTCTCATCCAACACCCTGGAAGGTGGTGGCTGCACACGTGGCCTCCGGTCCAGCGGTGCGGAGGCGAGGGTTGGCGAATCGCACAAAATCGTGTGAAGGAGGTGACATGCCCTGGCTTGCCAGGAGGGGGCAGCACGCCAACGTGTGGACTAATCTCCATCTGTTACATCTGTGTGCGTGTTTTTTTTGTAGTGTTACCCCCTCACATGTGTGGGTTTTCTCCGGGTGCTCAGGTTTTCTTCCTACTTATACGAATGCGCATTAACTCGCCGAAGACATCTTGATCGAAACGCACCTCCCTGTGATGTGAATTGTGCAGCGTTGCGGGATTCAGTCGGCACGAATGACGCTGCTGTTTAAATACACATGATTACAATAGAGAAAGAGGCAACTCCACGCTGCTTACACGCAGAGTGGGTGGATAGGTGCTCCTCCTACTGCGTTAGGAAGCCATTGGAGATGCGCACTTTTGAATCTAAATGGAGAACTCACTTCTTGAGAACTGTCGTTTGTGTTTAGTTCGTATTTCTTCTCCCGCACCTCCAATGAGCACAGTTGGCTACGTATGGTGCTGAAGAAGTTCAACGTACATACTCTGCCAAGCTGGCAGTTAATTCGCAGGAGCACATTGTACTGGAGTGAAACTGCTTTTTTAACTTTAATCTAGTCGTTTGCACAATTATGGTTCAATTGTCCTCTCGCCGTCCTGTAATGAGACGGTGTGTGTGCCCATTCAGAACTCCCGCAGGGCACTGTGAAAGCAAGGTACCACAGAACTATTTTGGAGATCACTTTAAAATAACCCTTTTATCCGTGCCGAGAGGTCTTGCGCTTTTGATTTACCCAATGAAAAATGTACTCGCAGAGTACTCAATTGTGGATTACACAGCACACACCTCTGGCAGACTAATGCCCCAGGTGACTTTTGCGAATGTGACCTTGTCTGGGTCTTCACTTCTCCCCTGATTCGACAAAATCTACATTTTAAACTTCACTGCATGTGCCGCTGCAGTGACACGTTCTTCGCACAGAAGTCAAACTGATATATTTTGTATCGTCTAAAAGTGGACGAAAAAAACTGCCCAAATAAGGGGAGAAACAGAAACACTCATTCAATGGGAGCGGGTTTTCGCGTGCAGTCATTCATGACCGGTGGGGGAGGAGGGGGGGGGAAACATGTTTTTAAATTCCTCAATGGATTGCTCATTGTGTAGTGGGTTCACCTTGAGAGACACACACATTCAGGAGGCAACACGTTTAGTCGACGACCACAACGGGGTAACTACATAACCAGTAACCACCACGGGACAGCTACATAACCGGTAACCACGACGGGACAGCTACATAACCGGTAACCACCACGGGGTAACTACATAACCGGTAACCACCACGGGGTAACTACATAACCAGTAACCACCACGGGGTAACTACATAACCGGTAACCACCACGGGGTAACTATATAAACGGGTCAGGTCAGTCGGCACACTGCCGGAGACCGAGAAGTAGACGTAACACGGCGGGTTCCATTCCAGCAGACAGCCCCGATGGGACCCCGGAACCTCCCTTTCATGCCCCCCAGCGTGGCCTGGCTCCGCCCTCGGCCACGCCCCCTTTTGGAACTTGCAAGAAGATTCTGGGCCATACACCACGCGTCCCTTCTGTAACCTTTGGCCCACATCTTTACCCTGTCCTATCACGTGCCATTTCCAGCTAACCGGGCTGCTTCATCCTCAGATGCCCCCTCTTTGCCAGCGACCAGAACCATGCCCCATAGGGACACTTTTCCATGACAGGGCATACCCTGCTGGCAGAGAGGGCTACTCCAATCCCAGTTCCCCTATCTATCAATAACTGGCGCTAGGCGCCGTAGTGACCCATTACATCACCCCCCCCCCCCCCACCTTATAAAACTAAGCCATCCCAGCTGACCATTATACCTTAATTAACAAAACGATCTGCCTCCAACCACAATTTCCAATATAACAATAAAACCAACAACAACCGTCCACAAGAACAATATGCACACTTACAGAAGAACATTTTCCAAAAAACTTTTAAAAATTCCGCGAACACACAATAACCAACCCAACCCCCAGGCAATGTCCACCACCCAACACCCATAAGCGTGTCACTACCCACGAGCACATGAAGGACCCAGTTCAACCGGTAACACAATCCGGCTCGTGCATGCGACCACCGGCAAACGGCATTGGGATAAATAGGACGCTGGAGGAGGGTCATTTAAAATAGACGGGCTTCGAACGGGTTCTCATCGCAGGACCTCCAGGCGGGGTGGGAACGGGTTCCCCGGGGTTCCCGTGGACGATTTGAAGATAGCCTAACGGGCGCGGCCCCTCCCAGGAAGAGGAATCAACAGGAGGAGAAGGAGTGGGTGCCGGCCGCTCCGCTCTCCTCGATTGCCTGCCACGTGGTCTTTAGTTGGTTTTAAATGTTGCGTGAGCAGGTGATCTTCTGCCTGCCACGTGGTCTTTAGTTGGTTTTAAATGTTGCGTGAGCAGGTGATCTTCTGCCTGTCACGTGGTCTTTAGTTGGTTTTAAATGTTGCGTCAGCAGGTGATCTTCTGCCTGTCACGTGGTCTTTAGTTGGTTTTAAATGTTGCGTCAGCAGGTGATCTTCTGCCTGCCACGTGGTCTTTAGTTGGTTTTAAATGTTGCGTCAGCAGGTGATCTTCTGCCTGCCACGTGGTCTTTAGTTGGTTTTAAATGTTGCGTCAGCAGGTGGTCCTCTGCCTGTCCCGGGGTCTTTCCCCTCGTGGTGTCCACCGTAGGGCAGTTTGCCCTATGGACTCGGGTTCCATTCTCAGCACGTGTCCGAGTCTTCTCTCTGTTATGTCCTGCGTTGTGCATCTTCAATTGGTCTCGATGTTACAGGTCCCGGTTTGAAGTGTTGTCTGGCCAGAAGATGCGACAGATTTCCCTCAGGCGGTTGTTGTGGAAGGTTGCTAGGGAGTTCACGTCTATCTTGGTGGTTCTCTAACTTTCACTATTGTACAGAAACACTGATTTTACATTGCTGTTGTATATTCATGCCTTTGTCTTTAAACTGTATTGGCTCAGGGCCAACACCAGTGACGATTAGCTTGGACCGGTCATGGGTCTCCCCTAGGTCGAATCAGCCTCAGATTTGTACCTGGTGCGATGTGTAAACATCGCTACTCGGGAGGCAAATGTGGCTGGCCGTGGTGCTGGCCACCCACCCGCTCGCATGCCGTGCCGGCCTTCAGAGAGGTGCTCGCTAACAGCACTTGCCCCAACAGCCTGGTCTGGCTATAGGGGGGATCTTTGTCCTTGTTGTGTGTGTGTGTATGTCGTGTGATAACGCAAGGAACCAATCACGTTGCCTTCATCTACAAGACACGATTCCCTAAACCCATCTCCACTCCATGGCTAACGCTAATAGAGTCAGTCGCATGCCGTGCCGGCCTTGATAGAGTTGCTCGCTAACAGCACTTGCCCCAACAGTCTGGTCACGCGTGGGGGGGGGGGGGCGGATCTTTGTCTCTGCAGAGACCGACTGTGGAAGGGATGGCAGCAGTCGCATCCAGCGCCCAAGATTGAGGACCTCGGCCTGCCAACAGCGGGGCGAGGAGCAACGCGTGTCGCGTGACACGTGAAGCAGGAGGAGCGGCGTTTGTCTGTTGCGCACTGGTGGATGAGAGATATGGGCAGCACGAGTGTGTAGTCGCCAGGGCAGTAGCAGCAGCAGCAGCTCTGCCAGATCATCATCATCATCGCCGTTATTAACAGGTCCATAATTCATAATTATTATTATCGACAGCAGCTCTGTCATAATTGTCATCGCGATCAACGACAGATATTCAGAATCACTTTCACCGTCATTATCATCAGCAGCACCTCTTTCTTTATCTTTAATAGCAACAGCTCAATTAAAATAATCTACTATTTATCTCCACTGTTATCTTTAACAGCAGCAGCAGCTCCGTAATAATAATCTACAGTTCATCATCAACAACATAAACAGCAGGTCCATCGTCATCATCTGCAATATAAAATAATCATCAAAGGTAGTGGATGATGAAGTTGGAACTACTGCGGACGTTAATGACGATGCGCTGCTGATGCTAATGATATACTACTGATGTTAATGATAATCATGTACTGATCATATTCATGATTATGTACTGATATTAATGACAGTGATGCACTGCTGATGTGAATGATGTGTTACTGATGTTAATGATCACGGCGGCGATGCACTGCTGATGGTAATGATGATGATGCTCTTTTAAAGACGATTATGATGGAGCAGCCCCATCTTTCACGCGTTGCCCTGTGGGGGTCCCGCCCGGGCGCCCCCGCGCCCGGACGGGACCCCCACAGGGCAACGCGTTAAGAGGCAAAGCGAAAAAAAAAATTAGCGTCCGCCGGACTGGAATGGAGCCACTTTTGGCTGCCGTAGAGTGGAGCAAGCACCGAGGAATGAAGCAGCGATGCTAATAATAATGCTGCTGCTGCTAATGAGACTGGCTGCAACTGGTAACATTGGCACACGTGCAAACCGTTTATTCTTTTAATTGATAAATACCTTGTATGGAAAACGGCGCGTGGCATGCAAGTGACGCGGCGTGGTTGGCAAGGTGCGTGCGTGGATCATCCTCCATGCACATGGGGGGCCCCACTCCGACTACCGTGGGCCCCAGGTACAATTGTACCGGTTTGCACACTCGAAAGTTACGCCACCATGGCTTGCAAAATGATCCTTATAATCCAATAGTTGCTATTACTTATTCACACAGGAAAGCCACACCGAGTCGGAAGACTGGTTTCATCGCTGCGTTGGGGACGTTTGGCTAACGTCAATGGCATTGTGTGCGTTTCGCTTCGGGTGGATAGCGGAGAACCCAGACCAAAAGCTCACGGAGAGCAGGAGGGAGACCACACAAACTCCACGCAGAAGGCTTCGAACCCAGGTCCTTCATGCTCTGAGGTTACAAGTGTTACCACTGCGTCACCCTGATAATCGTAATGTCCATGTCTGAGCGCTGAGCCAGCGCCAATGAGATCTTCGGTATGAATACAGGCAGCCGCATTTCAGAGATTAGAGTTGTTTTTTTTTATTTATCGGGAGTTTTGACTGAATCTGAATGCTCTTTTTCAATAGGATACTGCACCGGGACATTTGGACAATTATTTTGTGGACTAAACAGTTAAATAAATAACGTCATTTATTTACCCAGGAAAGCCTGAGTCTCAGACTGTAGTATTTTCCATGAAGGTCCTGCATTGGGAATGTTTGGCCAATTGCCCCACAGTGATTCGCATATCGGAGGAACCTGGAGTGTCCCGGAGAAAGCCTATGCACGCGACGGAATATCGCTCAAATCGTCACACAGACTCAAGAAGCCACCGCTTGCATTGCCATCTTCTAGCCACCCCACAGCCCTCGTCGACAATATCTGGGATTCCCAATTTTTTTCGGCACTGCCTCCTACAGCAAAAGCCTCGTCGTGATCCGCCAACCCCACCTCCGCGTCGCCGGAATGCAAGGGGGCCTGCGTCGTAGCAACGGTCAGCTCCGCTCATTTCAATGTTTATTACACGTGTTCTTTTTTTATTTACCTGACCACGAATCGCCCGCTTTCACGGGCAGGTTTTCCCATCGCACCTCGCGCCGGCCTCGAGCCCGCGCTGCGATCGCGCCGTCCGTGTGAAGCTGTGAAGGTCACGCGCCGCGCCCCCAGCTCGCTGCCATGCACTACAGCCTGCATTACAGTGACGGGCTATATTGAGCCGTGCTCTTGGTGGAGGGGGGGGGGGGGGCACATCTGTACTGCCGCTATGAAGAAAAGGCGACCTAGGGAGCGCGCGCGGCGCACACACACGCGTGCACACACACGCGCGCACACACACGCGCGCGCACACACGTGTACACGTGTGTGCGCGCGCGTGTGTGTGCGCCCGTCCGCTTCCTCGCACGTGCCCCTACCTGCTCGAGCTCGTGCGTTATTTTCCCACGGGGAGCGCTGACAAGGCGGCGGTTCGCGCACCGCACTGCGAGGCCGACCACTCGAGTTAGATTCCCGACCATGGTGGAGCGTCGGTGGCAAGCGCTATCGGAATCTGGCCTGGGTCTCTCGCCACGGGTTCACTCGGCCTTATGTGATTACCTCGTACTACTCAATGACTCCTCTTGTGCACCGTGCAGACCTCAACAGGTGCTCGCTAACATCACTTGCCCTAAGTGCTTGTTACGGCTCGCAGGGGGGATCCTTTGTCTGGGACTGCTAGTGGGGTGCTTAATGTGCTGCGCTGCGAACCCGGGAAAGCCGAGTTCGATTCCAGCTCACGGCCACCACCAGCCATATTTATCTGAACCGGCCTCTCCAAGGTCGACTCAGCCTCAAATGAGTACCTTGTACGATGTGTAAACATCGCCACTTGGCAGACAAAGGCGACCGGGCGTGGTGCTGGCAACCCCACCCCCTCGTGTGCCGTGCCCGTCTTCATAGATGCTCGCTAACAGCACTTGCCCCAAACGTCTGTTAAGGCTATACAGGAGATCTTTGTCTGTGGGTGCTGGAGGGACTTAGACCTCCCTCCCGCCCTCCCCTGTTAAATTGTACTCATGTAAGGCTCAGTGGGTCTAGGGGGCCACAGAATGGGTTCCAAATGGCGATGTGCCGCTGGCGATATGCGCGTGATGGATTTCACGTTGTGCTGCTGCCTATCTCAAACGCTTCAACTATCAGAATCTTTATTTAAACTCCAGGAGGAATCCGATGAGCTATGAAGCTCAATTTTCACAGACGTTCTGTGTGGGCGGGTCGGCATCGACCGTCATTACGGCTACGATTATGACGTCACTTGCCCCCCCCCCCAAACCCCCCAAACCCAAAGTCAATAAGGGAGAAAAACTGCGATAACTGATGGTAGCATTCCATAGGACACTTTGCCCATTTATATTGTATGCGCCTGCTTATATACGCCCCATGTTTACGCATGAATTATGTAATGTCATAACATGGCCAAAGCCGTTGAGCCTGGATTAACGGGGCATCTCGGAATGGAAATGTCGTGTTGGTTTTTATACGCTGAGCAGAGGTGTTTCACTTTCCATTCTACTTACTGTTTGCGGTAAATCTGTAATCTGGTCTCTGCCCACCCAAGACTAGTTTCGGTGATCCCTTGGTGCCTCTCTCATCACGCTGGCCATGTGCACGGTTGTCGTCCAGTTGCCGCTACGGGTAGAATATACGAATGGCGTGCGATCCCCACTATCTCTCTCTCTAATCGTCTTATCCAAACAATTGAATGCTTTGCGATGGCAGTGAGGTGGTGGCCATTAACACATTCAGCTCACGCCCTTTCAAACAACAGCAACATCATTTTTTTAGCGGATGTTTGGTGAATGGCTCATCCCACGTACGACATTTGGTGCTCTGTCGTTATAAGCAGGGTGCTGGGACTAACGTGTTTGAATAAATCATTCATAGAACACATCATTCTGTCCACCCAGCAGAATATAATGCGTTCGTAGAATTACTTAGTTTAAAAATAAAAAATAAATGATGGCAAAGTCGTTGATACACAACAGGCGAGCACAAAGACAATGTGAGCATCGTAATGAATGTCTGTGCCGAGTGCTGATTACAAACGTGTTCTTTACGCGATTGCCGGCTGCATGGCTACGCGAGGATGCCGCCGTCATGGCGGAACGGGGTTGCCAGCGTGCTGGACACGCAGTCACGGGCTCGCTGGTTCGACTCAATTTCCCCTGTCGTGACAGTTGAAACAACGGGGGGCAATGCATATTCTTGGTTCTTTCGGTAAAGTCACGTAGAAGGGAAACAATAAAATAATTGTAAAATATATATATAAATATAAAACAATACAATTCTCACGACGTTTCGACTGTAACACGAGCAATCATCATTAGGTGTGAAAACCACAGCATTCTGTCCACCCAGCAGAATAAACAATAAAATTCTCACGACGTTTCGACTGCAACACGAGCAATCATCATTAGGTGTGAAAACCACAGCAGGATAATTTGCTGTGGTTTTCACACCTGATGATGATTGCTTGTGTTGCAGTCGAACGTCGTGAGAATTTTATTGTTTTATATTTTTATTGTATTTTATTGTTTCCCTTCTACGTGACTTTACCGAAAGAACCAAGAATATGAATCCCTGCAGTCACGAAAGCTTTAAATCAAAATGGAGGGCAAGTTTCCTAAATTTTGCACCTCCCCCCCCATAGCTGTCCACGCAGGGGTGTAAATTGGTTCACCGCCGTTCAGTAGACTGGCAGGTCACGTGTGATAGGGTAAAACGTGGGTACCCGCACCACATCCAGAGCTTGGATTTGTTGGCCAAAGTCCATCTAGAGGAGCCCTCTTGAGCTCCCTCTTGTCGAGAGGCCTTTCCACCAGCAGTGGCGTGAGCCAGCAGTCGCTTGGCTGCACCTTACGCTTGTATCACTCCACTGGACGGCGATAGTTTCACATTAATTTTGATTTGTGATGTACGGCCCTTTGTGAATCCACTGCTGAAGGTAAGCCTTCCCATTTCATTTCGGTCATCGGGGGAAGTCTGATTCATACTTTATAAGGTTGGTCAGAATGGGTTGGTGGAAGGGGTTAGGAAGTGGCCAGGAGCGGTTCGGATATCACGCGCCACTGATGTTAGCCGTGGCAGGGGCGCTGGGTTCATAATGCGGTGCAATAACCATTGCAAACCTCATTTAACTTTAAAAAGTGATTCCTGCTCAAATACGCATTGGTGCTCATCTCCTGTATACAGCGCAGAGCCAGTGGTGGAAATTCCACATTCATATGGCAGGGGTGAGTATATCCACAGGACATTCCTACAAAGTGGTAAATATTTTATCGACCCTGGAGCGATGATGGGCTGAGACAACCCCCAACCAGGATTTGAAATCGCAACCTCGCGGCCGGGAGCCGCCTCACTCTTTTGCTGATCGCCGGTTTATTTAACAGTTTAACATTATATTATTGGTTCTTTCGGTAAAGTCACGTAGAAGGGAAACAATAAAATAATAGAAATATAAAACAATAAAATTCTCACGACGTTTCGACTGCAACACAAGCAATCATCATCAGGTGTGAAAACCACAGCAAGAAAATTTGAAAAAAGTGGCTTTTTTTAACGTTAGCACCACGGAGAGCGATTTGGCAGTTATTCATATGGACGAGTCCATCTATGTTCAGAAAAGAGGAGGGGGAGACGAAAATAATGGATGCGGTCTGAAAGCCACCGTAAGCGTGAACAATCAATTAAGATCCAAAATAGTTTATCAAATCCTTCCAATGATTGCTAAGCCAGAATCCATCTTCTCGGTTGAAATTGTCTCTGTGTTTGTATATGTGGATAGCCTCATGAACGAATCTCTCATGGTAGCCAGATGGCTTGCAGAGAACCTCTGTCTTGGAGAAGTCAATGTCATGTGAGCCTACTGAATTATAACAGTGATCTGCCACGGCCGAGGTGTTGGTCCTATCGTGTTTTAGGTCTGCTTTGTGTTCACGAATACGGTCCGAGACATGTCGTTTGGTTTCTCCAATGTAACTACTACCA